GGGGGGGGGGTTGGTGTTGGGGGGGGGGGGGGGGGGGGGAGAGGTCAATGGGGGAAAAAGGAGACTCATGTACTACTTTAAACAATAAAGATTTTTTTTTTAAAAAAAGGGACTGTATCCCAGTTGGGCATGGATAAACACAGAAAAATACACTACAAGTCCAAAGCTCTATTAGGAGGAATGTTTAATTAGCCAAATAAAAATGGCTCCATGGAAATGACTCCCTGACCCAGGATCCATAGGGAGGACATGCCCTTAGGGTTATTTTTTCAGTGGGAACATCAGGGTCTTCAGTACTCTCCTCCCTCCCCACAAAGAGGGAGGCTGGTAAGTTGAATGCAGTGTGGGTATATCTACACAGTGAATCAGTGCTGGTCTATATACAAATGTTATGTGATTCAACAGAAAGAAATTTAAGGGAAGAAAGATCACATGGGGTGGGGGTGTTTTCAGGCCCACCTGGGGACAAGAGATGAAATCTGGCACACTGGAGCCTTCCTGTCTCTGAGATGGCAGGGAAGTGTGGTGTTAAAAGACGTGGCCTGGTTCAAATTCCAGCTTTACCACTTACATACTACGTGACCCGAGTGGGGTACTTCACCTCTCCCAGCCTCACTTTTCTGTAAATTGGAAATGAAAATAGAACTGACATTAGAGAATTAAATGAGAATATGTGCAAAGCCCTCAACACAATGTCTGGAATGTAGTAGGTGCTCACTAAAAAGGGTCTTAGTTGTGGAGCAGAGAGATTTAATCAAGCTCTCCCAAGACATGGCCTCTCCCTCACAATTATCCAACTCTTTCACTTTCTTTATTAGTTTTGGCTTCCTGGTCCCCTGACAACAGAAGGTAGTGTTCTGGATTCTGGCCTCTAGAAAGGTAGAAGACTCATTTTAATGTGGATTGTGGTGAACTTACCATTTGAGACTCTTCCAGCTGCTGCCCTCCATAGTTTCTTTCTTGATACAGCAGGCTCTACTGGGGAAGTCACTTTCTTCTAGGAACCCCAGTTTCTTAACTGAAAAGTAGGTAAAAACAGCCCCATGTTTCCTGCTTACTGAGTTTTATGTAAGTCAAAAGCCAGGAGCCAGGCCCACCTGGCTCAGTGGTTGAACATTGACCTATGAACCTGGAGGTTGCAGTTGGATTCTTGGTCAGAGCACATGCGCAGGTTGCAGGCTCCATCCCCAGTGCGGGGTGTGCAGGAGGCAGCCAATCAATGATTCTCTTTCATCATTGATTTTTCTGTCTCTCCCTCTCCTTTCCTCTTTAAAATCAATTTTAAAAAAATATATTTTTTAAAAGCCAGGAAAGTTCATTGCAACCAGAAAAGCTTTAATCCTGACCTTATATGCAGACCTCCCTTCTTCGTGCTTCAGTTTCTCTACCTGTAAAAAGGGGAGAGGTCTACTGCCTCTTTGGGGGGGGGGGGTCGCTTTAAAATTATGTGTTCAAAATAATTGTTCTGGACGTAGAGTCGGAAAGATGCCTTGAGTTCTGGAAAAGGATAAGGCAGGCCCTTTGCTTCCTCTGAGCACCTCTCCAGGTAAGCTTGGGGTGGCAAGTAAACGTGTGCCCTCTGCTGGCCGGGACAGGAGATAAACCCTGGGAAGCGGGGAGAACCATGGTGGCTCAGGGAGACATTTCAGAGAGGGGTAAATGGAAGGGGGATAAATAGAAGGGTCTACATGTGAACAGATTACTAGGAGGCTAAAGAACTACAACGTTGGTGCAGTGCTTGGAATGCAGAGGGAAGGACAACTCGCGTTGTGGGTGATGGTTGCGCCTCTCTGGATTCTGATCCATTTGGTTTGTCCCGGAGCGCTTGTCAACAACTTCAGAGGACCCGGGCGAGGAGCATCCTGGGAAATGTAGTTGATAGGCGCGCTCTCCGCGCCGCAGCCCGGTGCCCTCGGAGGCGAGGGGACTCCATTTCCCGAGGTGCCTTGGGTCGGGGGC